TATCATTAACAGCTTTGCTCAGATCTTGCAAAGGGAGAGCCGTGGCTTCCCCTGTTGAGTCACCCCATCTCATGTGTGGCTCTTCCTCTTTTCCAACCGCCTTCATCCTTTCCGTGCATTGTCTTTGCCAGCCAGCCTTGTCTTATGCGGAGACCTACGTATTTGGCCTAGAAGGGTCCAAATCGATTCGACCCTAATCAAACCCTCACGGACTGTGGAGCAGGGCAAGGAGGTTTTCGGAGAAATAGAGGGGAGGGAGCCAGAGGAACCCTGCAGCCTCCGGCCTCCTTTCTGCAAGGGGCCAAGCCAGTGGCGTCCCTGCCAGACCCCTTCCACCCCCACCCTGGCCAAACACAACAAACAGGGCCGCTTGCAGCCAAGCCCCACCCGCTCTCAGGATGCCTGCATGATTCACTCTTCCTGAGGGCCCCCGGAGAAACCAGATGGATGTGATTAACTGCAGCCATTCTGCCCCCCCCCCAGAAGCCACCACTCCAAATGGGGGGGAGGAGTGTCGAGAGCACGTGACTCCTGGCAGCCGGCAATAAATAGAAGGGGGGTGGGGCGGGGGAGAGAAAATACCTGCAGTCGGCCTCCCCAATTGCCCAGTAAGATGGGATTTTGCAAAGGCCAAGTAAAGCCACCGGGTGAGAACCAAGATTCTTCTCCCCTGCAACTGCCTCAGTTCATACAATGCTGCTGCTAGGAAGGGGTGCCATTACCTTGCTAGGTGCAGGCCGAGGTCAATATCGGCCAGGCCTCATCCTGTCTCCCCACAGCGGCCAAGCCAGGTGCCTCCAGGAAGCCCACCAGCAGGGCATGGAGGTTGTCCTCTGGCTCCAGCAAACCGGCAGAGGTATTCCTGCCTCTGATGGGAAAGGTTCTATTTAGGCTACTGTAAGGCTGAACTGCCAACAAAATTCCGCATGGTCAAAGCAATGGTATTCCCAGTAGTCATGTATGGCTGCGAGAGTTGGACTATAAGGAAGGCTGAGCGCTGAAGAATACATTCTTTTGAACTATGGTGCTGGAGAAGACTCTTGAGAGTCCCTTGGACTGCAAGAAGATCAAATCAGTCAATCCTAAAAGAAATCAACCCTGACTGTTCCCTGGAAGGCCAGATAATGAAACTGACGCTCAAATACTTTGGCCACCAAATGAGAAGGGAGCACTCACTGGAGAAGACCCTGATGCTGGGAAAGATTGAAGGTCAAAGAAGATGGGGACGACAAAGGATGAGATGGTTGGACAGTGTCATCGACGCAACGAACATGAAATTGAGCCAACTTCAGAGGACAGCGGAAGACAGGAGGGCCTGGCGGGAGCTGGTCCATGGGGTCGCAAAGAGTCGGACTTGACTGTGCGACTGAACAACAACAAGGCTGAACTGCAGGCTGTGGAAGGTCAGTAGTTCAGCAGTTCGAGACCCGAGTGTGCCGCATGACGAAGTGAGCTCCCGTCTCTAGTTCCAGCTCCTGCCAACCTAGCAGTTCGAAAGCAAGAAATTGCAAGTAGATAAATAGGGACCACTTCGGTGGGAAGGTCACAGCGTTCCGTGTGCCTTGGTGTTTAGTCACGCCGGCCACATGACCACGGAAACGTCTTTGGACAGCGCTGGCTCTTCGGCTTGGAAACGGAGATGAGCACTGCAACCCTAGAGTCGGACTCGACCGGCTTTCGAGCAAGGGAACCTTTACCTTTAAGGCTAGATTGTGCCCCGACCTGAATTGCCCAGGCTAGCCCAATCGCCGCAGATCTCAGCTCAGCAGGGTCGGCCCTGGCTAGTATTTGCATGGCAGCCTCCAAGGCGTATCAGGGCTGCTATGCAGAGGCAGGCAATGGCAAGCCACCTCTGCACGTCTCTTGCCTTGAAAACCCTACGTGGTGGTTGCCATCAGCTGCAACTTGGCAGCAAAAGAGAGAGGCTAGATCGCGGCCCCGTTTCGTGTGGAAAGTCCCCTACGCAGGGCAGGATGGCCTTCCTGTCTGGAAGAGGTGGTCTGCCTCTGCACATGGAGCTTTCATACAGGGGCCATAAAACAGATCCAGGAGGGCTCGAGGCTGGATTCTTCTCCCAGCTCCCAGAGAACAGGAGGCTCCTCCCTCTACGGCCTCAGCCAGCTCCCACTAACTTGCTTTCCTCCCCCAGAGACTCCTGCCCTGGGAGACTTCAGGTCCAGGTCAAACTCTAAAGCACACGCCAAGGAGAGCCCAAAGTGCTCAAACAATCCCACGCATGAGGCTGCAGTTTCTTACAGGGCACACCCTCTGGCTACACAATAGCCTCCTTGTGCCAGCCGGATGGCATTGGCAGGTCGCGCCACATTGGCCCTCTACCCTCACGAAGGCCAGAAACTTAAATCTGAACCTGGCAGCTGAGGCTGAGAAACAGCCAGGCTGCTCCAAAGACTTAAGGGTTGGGGGTTTTTTTTGGGGGGGGGAATAGTGATTTCTGTCAATTCCTCCCTCTCGCTGCAGCCCGCAGAGCACTCCAAAATTTCGTTCAGGGAAGTGGGGCAACTGGCACAAACACAAGGGGCAAAGTGGGCACTGAACGCAAGAGCAGCCCTGCTGGGTCAGGCCAGCGGCCCATCTAGTCCAGCCTCCTGTCTCACACAGCGGCCAACCAGTTCCTCTGGAAGTCCAACAACAGGGCATAGAGGCCGAGGCCTTCCCCTGATGTTGCCTCCTGGCTCTGGGATCCAGAGGCTGACTGCCTCTGAATGTGGAGGTTCCCCTCAGTCACCATGGCCAGCAGCCACTGATAGTCCTATTTAATCCCCTCTGGCCGTCACATCTTGACAGCAAATCCCACATTTTCATCATTCTCTGTGTAAAGTACAATCTAGGTGTGCAGCTGTGTTGGTCTGAAGCAGAAGAACAAATGTTGAGTCCAGTGGGACCTTTTACGACCAACAAAGGTATAAGGCTTTCATGTGCATGCACACTTCCACGAACCTTCGCTGGCCTTAAAGGTGCCACTGGACTCAAAATGTGTTCCGTGTACAGTACACTGACCTGTACAACCAACACACTCTGCATTATTTTTGGGCCAGCAGGCAGTCTCGTCCTGGTTATTTGGAAAGCAGGAGACGCAATTCCTTAAGAAGAGGAGTTTGGATTTATACCCCGCCCTTCACTACCCAAAGGAGTCTCAGAGCAGCTTACAAACTCCTTTCCCTTCCGCTCCCCACAACAGACACCCTGTGAGGTAGGTGGGGCTGAGAGAGCTCTGAGAGATACTGCTCTTTTTCAAGGACAGCTCTTATCAGAACTACAGCTTGCCCAAGGTCATCCAGCCAGGTGCAAGTGGAGGAGTGGGGAATCAAACCCAGTTCTCCCAGATTAGAGTCCGCGCACTTAACCACCGCACGGGTTACCTTGATAGGACTCTCAAAAGTCCAGAACCGCAGGGTATGTCAAGCGACACTCCTACAGCTCGCTTCATTTGTCTATCAATACCGAAGGTGTGGTTTTTCTCTGTTTGCCCTCAACCTTGGCCCTTACAACACCTAGCACTGATAAGCACACCCCACTTTCACAGGTTGCCTCGTTACGGAGTCAAGACAAACGCGCTGCAGGGAGGCATCCCTGGACACTCCCACAGAGCTGGGCTGGGGCTCGGAAACCGGCCAAGCAGCTCGATTAACGGGCTACCCCTTGCCCACTTTCGGCCCTGTCAACAAAGGCCCGCAGAGTCCGGTTTAAGACTTGCACAAACTGGAGATCAACCCTGTGTGACCAATCCCTTTGTTAAGGGCTCTGTTGGGCCTGTGTAATCTGGGGAGAGATACCAGGCCCTCCTGCGGAGACTTGCATCTTAATGGGGGCTGGAGTAAAACTGTCACAGTGCCCCTGATCTCTGGTGGCAGGCACTGAGAATAAGTGGGAATAAGCCATGCTTTGTGTACTGGGGATCTAGGAAGCAGCCTGACACCTGAGGCCAGACTCAACTGGTCTCGCAGCTGGGGACTCTGCCTTCTCTGAATAACAGGAGCTCTCTGTGGCCCCAGGGGGAGAAACATGGTTCTCTGCGTCTGCCTTCCGAGATCCTTTAAGTCAGGGGTCCCCATTGTGGCGCCCCTGGACACCGTGATGCCTACTGACACCTTTTCTGGTGCTCACCAAGGGTTTCTTCCGCCAGGCTTTTGAATAGGAGCCGCCACCACCAGTGTACCACCAACGCACCAGTGTACCATCAACGCCCCATAATTTCTGTATATGGACATCAGGACATGGGCATGTACCACCAACGCCCCATAATTACTGCATCATGGGTGAGAACGGGACGTTTAGGGGACGGCCATCTTGCTTTTAGAAACTGTAATTTTGGAATTGGTTCAGAGGAGCACCAAAATTGTTTATTAATGGTGATGTATTTTTAACATTTTGTACTGTTTTACTGTTTTATTCGGCGATATGCCTTGTTAGCCGTCCTGAGCCTCCGGGGTGGGCGGGATAGAAATGTAAATAATAAATAAATAAATCCTAGAGTGGGTGGGGCTTTTGTCCAGCAAGGCATCTGATTGGCTGTGCCATTTAAAAAAACAAAACAAAACACACATGTGGCTTTGGTAGCATCTACGGCCACAGCACAAGGATCTTCACTGTGTGACTGAAGGTGAGCTGCGGCAGCTATTTTGTGGCTGGCTCCAGCTCCCACGGGAACCATTTCATAGTTGTTCCTGTCACGCTGTGCCGGTATTCCAAAAGGTGCCTGCAGAGGCTCCAAAAGGTTGGGGGACCCCTGTTCAAAGTGGAAATGCCAGGGACTGAACTCAGGGTCTCTGGCTTACAAGAAAGTACGACTGAGCCACAGAAATGGCCTCTTGGCCGGCCCACAGAGACGATATGGGAGGAACTGCAGCACGGCAGGGCAAAGGAGATCCCCAACCACCAACATGGCCGCTTTAGCAAGCCACAAAGCTTAGGGATTGTGCCCAGAGGATAACCTGCGTGCCCACCCTCCCCTCCGCCAGGAAGCAGACCGACACACGCGCTACTAGCACACTCGGGTTTTTAATACACGTCTTGGAACGTCACGCCATCTCTCCCTCCTTGCGATGTTCTGGCCACTGGCGGCTCCAGGGGGCTCTTTGTCCTTCATTAGGTCCGTGTTTTGGGAACAGTCCTCCGGCCTTCGCCTCACTTGAAGATCTTGCCCTGGCAGAAGGCCTTGCCGACGTGCTTGAACTCCCCCTCCCACAGGAAGTACTCCTTCACCAGGGTCTTGCACTCCTCGCTATCCGGGTCCAGCTTCCGCCAAGTATAGGATTCGTAGTCCACCTGCCAGTCGGGACTCAGCTGGGGAAAAGACAGGGGAGGGCAGTCAGCACAATGCCGAGGAAGAGTAAACCCACAAGGCTGGGATGGTCCCCGCTAATGCCAAAATGAGGGGCCCTCCCATCAATGGGACAGACGCAGGTCTGGGACAGCTCTCGGCCCCAACGTTTAGCACAGTCTTTGCAAGAGAAATTACACTTGACCCAGACACGGCTTTTTCGGCAGCTCCCCACTGCTCTCCCGTGGCTACTAATCCTTCTCCCAACCACGACTGGTACACCCAGCTGTGCCCTTTCCTGGAAAGAAGCGACCCGGCGGCAGTTATTCACCCGCCAAAGGCATCAAGGCCAGACTATTATCATGTGTGCTCTAGGCGGGGCTGCCTCGGAAGATCTCACAGCAGCTACAGCTGGTCCAAAACACCACCCGCAAGGGTGTTGACAAGGAGATGCCGCCATGATGATCGTGTTACCCCTGTGTCGCAGAGGCTTGATCACGGGCACAAGGCAAAGTGTTTGTACTGGACACGTAAGGCCCTAAAATGTTCTGGGTGTGGGATATCTGGACAACCTTGCCACCCTGTGGAAAACTCGTCTAGTCACTCCCTTCTCTGGGTACCCCCTGGCCACAGAAGGGAAGCAGGTGGTGGATGGGGCCTCTTCGGCAGCAATGCTGGATCTCTGGGAAAGCTCTTCTTTGGGAGGTTCACCTGGCGTGCCTTCATTGTGGGCGCTCAGTTCTACTTTTGCTCCACTCTCGTGACTGGAGCAGCCCGACTGTGAGGCGGATACTGTTTTTGAGAGTGTTTTGCTGCCTGCTTTAACTGGTTCTGATTTTAAATACATTTTGGGATTTATTTGGAAAGTGAGTGTCAGGTTTCGGTGGTAACCCTCGCACACGTTCCCACCCCAATGACCATCACATTTTCTTAAAAGAAATCCACATGTAGTCTTGTGCACCAGTTAAAGCTCTGCGCTGCACCCACTCTGGAATGGCTCCAATGTGCTCACGCCACTCACTGGGGACCCAACTGAGAAGCCATCACTGTGTGTGATTTCCTCTGTCGGAGTACTGACACACCCCTTCAAATACCCACATGCGCACGCACTGAATTAGTCCTACCAGCGAAATGTGAAGTTCTTCACAGCCCATTCAATAGGAACAAATTCTACTTCTGTTTCGACAAGTTTAGGGATACATCAGGTCTGGCGCGCGTCAGAAAATACCTGACGTGGTAGCGGTAGAAAAGAGCAAGAGTCCAGCAGCATCTTAAAGACTAACAGAATTTGTGCCAGGAGATGAGCTTTCGTGAGCAGTGACTTAGGAAAGCTCATCCCCTGCCACAAATCTTGTTCGTCTTTAAGGTGCTGCTGGACTTTTCTGCTGCTACAGACAAACATGGCTACCCGTCTTGATGTAGTACCAGTGCACCTGACTGGAAACGTGGATAGAGATCCATGTACAGAACTAACCACAAAAATTCTGGGATTTAAATTTTTATATGAATAAACCAAGCAAAAAACCCAATTCTTTAAAGTCCGTTGCTAAGCCACAAGCCAAGATAACAAAGGTGATTCCTTTCCATTAAGCTTCTAGCCGAGGGTCATGTTACTTCGGCCTTCCTCAGTCTGAAGAGGCACAATTTGTTTCAGATCCTCTGAGACTGGGAGAGGCCCCCAGCGCTGACTCTACAGACGCAGCTCCTTAAGTCACAGTTGCCTCAAATCCTCTGGCAAGAGGGACATCTAAAGGAAGTTGCGGCAAAGTGCAGCTCCTCTTACAAAACTACAACCTGAAATCCTGCAGACCCATTCCCCAAATGTTTTCTCTAGTGCAAAGAGGAAGAAGAGCAGGTTTTTTTATACCCTGCTTTTCTCTACCCTAAGGATTCTCAAAGTGGCTTACGCTCACCTTCCCTTCCCCACAACAGGCACCTTGTGAGGTAGGTGGGGCTGAGAGAGCTCTGAGAGAAACTGTGACTGGACCAAGGCCACCCAGCCGGCCTCATGTGGAGGAGGAGGGAATCAAATCCGGCTCTCCAGATTAGAGTTCGCCCACCTTAACCACGATGCCATGCTGCCTCTCAGGGAGCCTCCCTCACACCAGGGGGAAATATTGTCACTGGCAGAATAGATCCACAAATCCCACCTTGTTTCCACCCAGGAGTGCTACCGATTCCAGCACAAGGTAGCCATGCTCTTGGGGCGAGTCCGCCCGAGGCCCCCCAACTCACCGGAAAGGCAAGCTCCTGCCCACGGAAGACCCAGATGCCTGAAATGCTGCTATCGTTGTTGGTGCCAAAAAGGATGACGGAAGCAAAGGCATTCTTGCGCAGCTTGTCCAGGCGCTGGAACATGCCTGCGGGGGGGGGAGAGAAAGAAGTGACGCTCTGGGCACTGCCGCCCCAAGGCGGGGAAAAGGAATGGGCCCGGGTCTCACCTGTGATTAGGTTGCAGCTCATGAACGTCTGCGCCAGCTCCTCGGGGAAGCGATACTCGCCGTACCAGATGGACCAGCCCTCCTTGTCAAAATGCTCCCAGAAGTGAGGCAGGGCCACCGTGAGGGTGTCTTCGTTGGAGTACTTGCGCTTGAACTCGTCCATGACGAAGGGGCTAGGAGGAGAGCCGTCGGTTAGACTCGGCACACAAAAAGGGAGCCTGCATCTCTCCGGCAGCACGAACCAGCCCCTCCCATATGACTCACGCTACCCATGACCTACCCTGCCGAGCCCCACTGTCTTCCGTTTACCCACACAACCCCTGCACTGCTCCCACACGGCCCAAGCATGCATCAG